GTCTCACCCACTCTGATCCTTGGGTCTGTCACCAAACCCTGGCTGGTGATGACTTTACTTTCAGCATTGATGAAGAACAGCCACACTTGACAGCGCAAAGGCAAACACGAGGACAAAGAAGAAGCAGGAGGAGTTGGGGAGGGAAGAGCTGCAGCCCTGGGGAAGTTCAGCACATGCTGAGTGTTGCAATTTGCTCGTACACCTACACAGAGCCTCTCAGCACAAAAATAAGAGCAGGATTTTGCATGTCTGAATAAATCACCTTCTCCGGGCCAGATTCTCAGCAGGTCCCAGCTGACGTGGCTGGCTGGAGCTCAGTGGGCATATGTCAGTCCTATAAACTGGGGCCAGGGCTTAATATGCAGAATCAGGTCCTGGGACAGGTCACGTGAGGTGAAGGACCAAGAATAGCAGATGCACAGTAAGACCTTGGGTTTGTCCTTCACTTCTGAACATGAGGAGCCTGAACCTGGCTGAACCTGACCCAGAGCAGACTCTGAAGCCATGGAGGCAGATTCCCTGCATGGTTAGATGACACTTTTTTGTGAACTGGGAGTAATACTTCAGATTTTACAGGTAATTTTTTAATTTTAAAGCTGGACTGTCACTTGACCAAGCAACTAACCCATTCCACAGCCCGTTCTGTAGCACCATGGCCAAGGAGAAGTTTGGACATACACATACTACTAAATTCACTTTGCTGCCTGTACTGTTTTTGGCTGGGATAGAGTTAATTCCAAAATTGGGTGGTCCTGGACAAATTGCCTGTTGGGAACAATCCTCAGCATGTGCAAACTCCTGAAGCTCTAACTGTTTGGCAGGGCACTAACTGGTACAAGCCAAGACCATGCTGGGGCTGTGCTATTGAAATAACCCAGTCTAAACACGCTGGTAGACATGATGTGGGTTGCACAGTGCGGGTGATGGAGCTGCACACCCTGTATCTTTGCATTTCACTCAGTAAGGACACGGGCTGGTGTATTTCTTCCCTGGAGGACAATCTCTACATACACCATCTTTTGCCCTTCCATTGGACAGATGAATCCTACATGCTTTAAATAAACAAACTTAAAGAAAAACTTCTTTCCTGTGAGGGTGCCAGAGCCCTGGGACAGGCTGCCCAGAGAGGGTGTGGAGTCTCCATCTCTGGAGATGTTCCAAACCCACCTGGACACTTTCCTGTGCAACC